CTAAAAAATGCAAAATTAGCAGGGCGTGGTGGCATGTGCCTGTAATCCCAGCTACTCGGGAGGCTGAGGCAGGAGAATCGCTTGAACCCAGGAGGCGGAGGTAGTGGTGTGCCGAGATCGCGCCATTGCACTCCAGTCTGGGCAACAAGAGCGAAACTCCATCTCAAAAAAAAAAAAAAAAAAAAAAAAAAATAGAGCTGAGCTGTAAGTAGTTCATACATGTAAAGAAATGATATGTTTACTTTAATAAATATGCTATTTAAGAGAATAATCTTCATTAGTTTGGCTTACCTTAAAATTAAATTGGGAAAATAATCAAAACAGAAGGTAATTTTTTTTCTTCACTAGTCTTTTCCTTCAAATTTTTTTTCTACTCGTTTGTGGAGATGTCCGCTAAATGAATGAAGGCTAGCTTGCACCACACTTTAACGTATTTTGCCACATAAGGCAAGATTTACGATAAAAAAAAATTTACTGAATAAACAGCTCAACGCAAACGCATCCCACAATGCCTCGAGCTTCGGAGTCCTATTTATTTGCTCACGATACACTAACTTTCACCAGCAGGTGAGTCCCGTTCTATATGCTCTGGTTTGTTTAAGGGCAGCAACTGTGTTGACTGGATGAACCCAACATAAAAAAGGCAGTTAAGAGGGTGACTAAGGCGACCCCGTGGGCAAAACTCGCCTGCTTTTTAGAGGCGATGGGGAATCAGCTGTCTCAAATTTCCCAGTTCTTTTTCTGCCTACACTACCTACCCGCTTGGCCGCTGTGATTCCAGAAGGCCTCAGATCTCAGGAAATCATCCAGTTCTCCTCACGAAGAGCTGGAAATGGCGGGAAAATAAACAGCTGGCCTGACACCCACAAGAGGCTGGGCGCAGCGGAGGCGGTGTGTGAGATGTGGGCGGGGCCTGGCGGTGCGCTGGTATACTGGGCGTGGCTCTGTGGCGTGGGCGGGGCCGGCAGAGGCGTTCTCTGGGAGAGGAGCGGCTCGCGGTGGCGCGAGAGGGGTGTAGGAGCCTTTTCCTAGCAGCCCAGGAAAATTCATCTCACTTAGAATATTGAGGACAAATAAACACTATAAACTAATCCCATACACGTTACTGTGAAAACAAAAAGGTGAAAATAAAACCTAATTAACGTTCCAATAAACGATGAGAACGCGTTATAAAATTTGGTCTTAAGGCCAGGCGCCGTGGCTCTCGCCTGTAATCCCAGCACCTTGGGAGGCTCAGGCGGGTGGATCACCTCAGGTCAGGAGTTTGAGACCAGCCTGGCCAACACAGCGAAACCCCGTCTCTACTAAAAATACAAAAATTAGCCAGGTGTGATGGTAGGCGCCTGTAGTCCCAGCTACTAGAGAGACTGAGGCAGGAGAATCGCTTGAACCCAGGAGGGGGAGGTTGCAGTAAGCCAAGATCCGGCCAGTGCACTCCAGCCTGGGTAACAGAGCTAGACTTCGTCTTAAAAAAAAATAGCCGGGTGTGGTGGCGGGTGCCTGTAGTCCCAGCTACTAGGGAGGCTGAAGCATGGAGGCTGCCATGAGCCGAGTTAATGCTGCACTCCAGGCTGGTTGAGGGAGCAAGACACTGCCTCAAACTAACAAACAAAAAAAGAGAGAGAGAGAGGGAAAATAAGATTGGCACCAGATTTCTTCACAGAAGCATTCTATGCTAGATAACAATGAAACAACATTTTCTAGATTTTCACAGAAAGAAACTATGATCCGAGAAATTTATATCCCCTTATATTGTGTTCAGATATAAAGGCCACTAGCAAAAAGCACGCAAATAAGCTTTTCCTGAGGAATCCACTTAGAGTAGTAGTAGTTCTCAAACTTTTTGGTCTCAGATTTTCTTTACATTTTAAAAATTATTGAAGACCCTCCAAAGAGCTTTTGTTTATGTAAATTGTATCTACCAATATTTACCAAGTTAGTTATTAAAAGTGAGAATTTTTGAACATTTATTTATTAATTCATTTGAAAACAGTAATGAACCCATTAAATGTTAATATAAATAACCTGTGGAAAATATATTTTCCAAAAAAAGAACAATTTAGTGAGAAGAGTGTCATTGTTTTAACATTTTTGTAATCTTTTACTATGTAGCTTAATAGGAAGCTGATGGAGTCCCATATTTGCTTCAGCATTAACTTTTGCAGTACGCTGTTTTGGTTGGAGTGTGTGAAGAAGATTTGAACTCACTCAAATATGTAGGGGAAGAAAATGGTATTTAAATAGCCTTTTCAGATAGTTGTGAACATTTCTCTTTGATACTACATTAAAATTCAGGAAATCTGAGTTTGTTAAAAGTTAATTGCAAAGTGGGATCTGAAACCGTATCAATGAACTTTTTATAGCCTGTTATATTAAAATTCTTTGGCCTGTCTTGCATTTTAAACGTATCTTTTGCCCATGCAGGATTTTGTAACATCATACATTTAGACCAAGCTGGTCATTTGAAAAATGTTGGTTCAGTAAGTTATATACATTGGAGCATTTTGTTTTAGAATATTAAAAATCTCTGACTCCTGACCTCAAGTGACCCACCTGCCTTGGCCTCCCAAAATGCTGGGATTACAGGCTTGAACCACCGTGCCCAGCCTTAGTTTTTCTTTATATCTTCTATTTCTTTGCTGGGACTTTCTACTTTAAAAAATTTCTATAAATGTTTTTGTAATTGTTTATTGAAGCTTTTTTAAAAAAGATACGGAGTCTCACTATGTTGCCCATGGATTGCATTATAGCATAATACAGCCTTGAACTCCTGGGCTCAAGTCATCTTCCTGCCCTAGCCTCTCAAGTAGCTAAGACTATAAGTACACCCAATTCACTGAAGCACTTTTATGGCAGCTCCCTTAAAATCCTTGTTAGATAATGCCGACATCTGTGTAACACTGAAGTGTTAGTACCTGTTGATTGTTGGGGTTTTCATTTAAATTGAGATTTTCCTGGTTTTTGTATGATGAGTGCTTTTTGATTATATACTGGACATTTTTAGTATTATTTTGTGAGACTGAATCATTTTCTCTCTATGTCTTTTCCTCACTCTCTACCTCCCTTCCTCACTCCTTCTCTCTCTTTCTTTTTTCGTTTGGCATGAAGTCAT